TTACAGCTGCTCATCCTGGTTTTGATTCTTTAAGTACTGTAGTGGCTCACGGCAAAGTGCAAGAAACAGCAACTACTGGTAAAGAATCTCATGCATGTAATTCATGGTATTGTTTAACAGTGCTTAGTTCATCACCTTTTTTGTTTGTTTAAAGATTTGTTCTTCTTCTGGTGATGTTAGCTGGAGTAATCCATGGCAAAATCAACATAAATGTAATCCACAGGCACACCTTCTGTTAATTACTCACAGTAAATAGATCCCTGTTGTTGTATATACTGTATTGGGATGTTTTAATTTAATAATATTGTTTTCTGTATCTATGTTTTAATGTCGACTTGCCCCTTGCGTCTGCCTCTTGGCCAGGTCGACATTGTAAATGAGAAATGGTTCTCAAATGACTTATCTGGTTAAATAAAGCATCATAAACAAGTGCAACGCACATACTGTATCTGTAAACAGTTTAAAAACCTAAAGTCAAAAGTATTTTTTTGTGGTGTGAAAAAGGGTGCACTTCTAAAAATGTACTATAATAGGCCATACTTTAATGAAGAGAACCTGCTTGTCATTATCACTATGTTAGCATTCATTAGTTAATGACAAATATACTGATCTAGCTTTCTGTTTTTCCCCTGTTCCTTCACGTAATTAATAGTTAGTGAGTTAAGTAGTAAGTTGATTCAAAACACAAACATATAAGCAAATCAGGTCCAACAAAAAAAAAAAACTGCCTCTTCTTCTCTTGTGACGCTGTGTGTCTCTGTATCTCTGTGTTCCTCTGTAGTTCCTCTTATCCACAGGTTTTTGCTAAAAACTGAGACTCGGTCTCTTCCATTATGCTTTGATGTCACTGGAGATGTCCGCCTTAAACTACTACACCATCCCAACAGGGGTCAGTAATGTTCCTCTTTGTGCCATCACTAATTCCCCTCCATTATTTACAACCTAATCAATAAACACCTTTTATTTTGCCTGTTGCTTTATGTGTAACACTCTTCTTCTATTCTCCTCAGGATCTTTGTGTCAGTTATATACTGTGTAATAACCAATAATTATCCCCTAGTTTGCAGTGGTGGGAAGTAACTTAAATACATTGATTTTACATGATAGTCTTATTAAACAATTCTAGATTGAGTATCACTTGGCCACAGTACAGTACTTAAAATTTACTGATGATTCTTCTGTACATTGACTTAAGTAGGTTTTGAGATTTTGAGTGAAGGACTTTTATTTGTAATCTACATTGTTTTGCTAGTACTTGCACTTCTTTCACCACTGCTAGTTTGAAGTGTGGTGTTGAGTTGTGTTTGTTCTCTTTTGTACTAGAGCTGTCTGTGAATGGTGAGCTTGATTCAGTAGCGTATGGAGGCTTCAAAAGGATTGTCATCCACTTCAAAGCTGACCTGCATATTGAGGTTGACACCCAGAGAATCACTGTACGAGAGGGACAGACGATGACACAGCACACTGGACAGGATCTCATCACAGCTGGAAGGTGACTTTGCATTGTAATGGCAGGAATTACGCTATGATGATACTCAGCTGTGTATAGACTCTGATGCAGGGATGAAAATGCACATGGTCACTGTTTCTGCATGCAGAGTTAAGTATTCATGTGTGGCCTAAGGTCACATCAGAGCTTTAAGGAATAGTTTGACATTTTGGGAAATACATTTATTCATTCACTTGCTGAGTGTTAGAGGAGAGGATGGATTTAGCTGTAATGTCCCTATGCTAAGTATAAACCTAGCACCAGCATCCATCCATCTTAGCTTAGGCCTAGGTTTTTACACCTAGATAGGAGCTGGGCTAGCTGTTTCTGACTTGTTTCCAGTCTTTGCGCTAAGCTAAGCTAACCAGCTGCTGGTTGTAGCTTCATATTTACCTACAGACATGAAAATGGTATCAGTCCTATCATTGTACTCTACACCAGAAAGCCAATCAACTATTTCCTAAAATGTTATAACCAATTACTATGCTAATTCATTTGGTTCAGGAGCTCATTAAATTGCTCTTTTGGTGCCTCCCAGTACCTCTCTGCTGCTTCAGGAAGCTATTTATAATCCACCAAATGTGGTGAAACAGTCAGAGCCCTCCTCTCTGTGACTCGCATAGAGGTGAGCCAAAGTTTCTAACTGGTACTGTTCTACCTCCCACACCAGCTCCAATTAATTACATAAACAGAGGAAATAAACGGAAAACCCAAAACTGTTTGTTGACTTTGATATGAGTTACATCATTACAATTTCCCTTAAACATTAAAATCCAAAGATACCTGATCATATTCTGGGCTATTCAATAGCCTAACGAATTCACAATGATCCTGTGCCTCTGAGCAGGACAAACAGTAGGCTAACCTGTAATTATTCATGTGCAGTTGTTTGTTAAAAAGGTGACAACTACAGAGAGAATATCTGCACTGATAACTGTGAGACTTTATTAGTACCAACACAGTGCACATGAGCCTGAGTAATCAGCTAAGATAAGCGAAATGACCTGTGTGGGTGTGCAGGGCTTTTAAAAAGAGTCCAAAAGAAAGCTAATAGGAGATGCTCTTTTTACTAGTTTGACAGTGATTAGGCGGGACAAGGAAATAGATGTTGCAGCTGGAGACACACGCATGGTCATCTTGATTCATAAGCGAGGTGACAAAGAATTCATCTGGCCGGTTTTAAGACAGAAGCCATCAGACAACAACATTTCAGGAATTTTAGGTGGGTAAAAAGGCTGGATTTGCTTGTGTGTTTTAATCTCAAGTTAACAATATATTGAATTAGTGTTTGCGCCCAAATGAGGTGGTTGATAGAGAGATAATTCATTAAAAAGACGCAAATATGTTGTACTGTGTCTCATGGAGTGTCAGTTTTTCAGTGCCACTGCTTTATTGTTTATTCTCTGTGTCCAGCTTTAAAGCCAGCAGTTTATGAGGAGATGCACCACACTCCCTCAACAAAACTTAAGATCAAAGACCAGGAGATTGATGTTACCAGGTACATTTTCTTCTGTATTATTAGTTGATATATAAAAAAGAGAGCTGTTTGGGAGTAATAAAAGTATTATTATTTTGATATACACATATATATGACCATGTATTTCTTTCTTTTGTAGATCTAATGCTGTTGACTACAGTATTGTCTCTGCCCTGACACTGGACTGCTGGTTCATGTCTGCTGAGTCTGCCCTGCAGAGACGACTGGATGATTTCATTGTTACACAACTTTAACTGGGAAACATGTTGAATCAATTGCAAATATGACTTTCTTACATCTCTTTAATGTTTGCAATGAAAGTTTGGTGTATGGTTGCTTTAGCTTGTTGTATCACTTGTTGTATGTACTGCTTTTTTACAAAAGCAGTACATACTTCCAGACAGAAATAATAAATTCATCAACATATTAGTCATGTACGTGTGTCATTATGGAGTAAAATTGTTTCTTTGTACCTCTATCACTTTAAGTTTTCAAACCAGTGTGGTCTGTGTTTGTATGAAAAGCTTTCAGTGTGGTAACAAAGTCCTGGCAAAGTGGGAAGGCTTGACCTGTCAACACTTTCTTTTAGCTACAGTCATTGACAAACAATATGGGCACCCCTGCATGTCTATCACTACTACTTCTTCCAAAAAATGTTCACAGTCACAAATGCTTTGGTCTCTTTTTTTGCATTGGAACAACACAAAAAAAGCAGAAGAGAAAAAAGCCAAACCTGAGAAACTCCACACAGAACTGTAAAAATGTACTGGACAAACTCAATGTTTGGTCGCACACCATCCATCCATCCATCGTCAACCACCATCCTGCGAACAGGGTCGCGGGGGGCTGGAGCCAATCCCAGCTGACATCGCAGGGCCACACATAGACAAACAACCAATCAACCTAGCCTACATGTCTTTGGAGGGTGGGAGGAAGCCGGAGCACCTGGAAAGAACCCATGCGGACAACATGCAAACTCCACACAGAAAGGCCGGGGCAACTGGGGTTTTAACCCACGACCTTCTTGCTGTGAGGTGACAGCGCTAACCACTGAACCACCGCACCGCCCTGGTCGCGCACCCTTTGGAAAAAAAACTACTGAAATTAATCGCCTCCTGTAACCATCAATGAGTTTCTTACACCTCCGTACTGGAATTTTGGACCACTCTGCTTTTGCCTACTGCTTCATGTTTTTGAGATTTGATGCATTCCTTCTCCCAGCTGCTGTTATGAGATCTCTCCACAGGTGCTCTATGGGATTTAGATCTGCACTCATTGCTGGCTACTTCAGAACTCTCCATTGCTTTGTCGTAAACCTTTTATGGGTGCTTTTGTAAGTATGCTTTAGGTCATTGTCCTGCTGTAAGAGGCATCACCCAGCTTTCTGACACTGCACTGCGCCCCAGAATCCTTTGGTAGTCTTCAGATTTCATAATGCCATGCACACAGTCAAGACGTCCAGCGTCTGAAGCAGCAAATCAACCACAAAACATCAGTGAACCTCCACCATAACTGTAGGGACTGTTCTTTTCATTGATGCCTCATTTCATTTTCTGAAAACAGAAGAATGATGTGCTTTCCCCAGCTGCCTGGGGTGCAGTCTGGTGAGAGAAGTCATGGAGAGGGCATTGGTGCAAATCGCCCTCTTTGGGCTTCTGCTGGCTTTGGTTACCACACTAGGCAAGGCAAGTTTATTTGTATAGCACAATTTAACAACAAGGTAATTCAAAGTGCTTTACATAAAACATAGAAGCAACAGGGAAATATGTAAAAGTTTAAAAGCAACATAAAATATAATAAAAGTTACAGTCTTACAATCAGGGTTAAAAGACTTAAATGGAAAATAATAAAAAGCTAAAAAACAAAGAAAAAGAAAACAGGACAGTAAAAGTTACAGTGCAATGTAAGTTATCAGTAAAAAGAAAAATCTTAAATATTTAATTAAAAGCAGTGGTAAAAAGAAAAGTCTTAATTTAAAAGAACTGACTGTTTCAGCAGACCTGCAGTTTGTTTCAAATATACAGAGCATAATAACTGAACGCTGCTTCTCCTTGTTTAGTTTTGACTCTGGGGACAGAAAGCTGACCTGAGAGGTCTGGATGATTTGTAATGAAGCAGAAGATCGGAAATGTATTTTGGCCCTAAACCATTTAGTGCTTGAATTGAATATATTGGTATCTTAGCACTGACAAATTAACAAATATATGAGGTTTGTGCATGATTTTGTGTATTTCACCATCTTTCTGTCAGTCACAACAGATCTCTGTCACAAAGCACAAGTTGAAGGACATGATTTAGCTCTACCTTCTGTCACGGCCCCCGGCCCCTGATCCCCTCCAGTGACAGTGTGTGTATGGGTGAATGATTTTTGATTTGTTTTTTGCACTTTGAGTGTTTGCCGTGTACCTGGTGTTTGTCTGTCTCTCCTTCCTTGTTTCCCAGAACTGGTGGGTGTGGTCTTCAGTTCCTCACGGCTGTGGCGCACCTGTTGGGTATTGCCTCATCACCACTCCCTATTTAACCCTGGCCAACTCACCTGTCCTTGCTGGATTGTTGTGTAACTATGGTACGCTTCACCCCAGCCTCAGATCAGTCTAGTAACACTGTGTCTCTGTTTGCCTGCTTACACTATCTGTTTCTCATCTTCAGGAAACCTGCCCTGGATCTCAGGTCTTCCCCGCCAGTCAGCGCAACCCTCAGGAGTGTCCTCCGCCTCGCCTCGCCTGCCCTGCTTGCCTTCTCCTACGGAGCCTGGACCTTGCCCCTCTCCCCCGTCAGTTTTCCCTCTGTCATTTCATCAATAAAGCTCTCTTGTTCATCCCCCAGCTCCAGTCTGCTCTTGGGTTCTGTTACCAGCCCTGACACCTTCCTAGTTGTTTCATATCGTTCATATCAATGCACCGTGTGTGTGTGTGTGTGTGTGTGTGTGTACAAAGTCATTAACCTGATCCATTAAATATTAAGACTTAGGATTGGTAAAGGTTTAGGTAAGATTGCAGTAAAATTCCAGGGAATTATTGTAAGTCAACAATGCAATGTCCGCTAAAGTGACAGTGTTTGTGTGACATATGTTTGAATGTATATCACTTATAATGTGGGGCCATAAATCTGTTTACACAGTTGCAATGGGGGGACTTGATTCCCTTTTGGGGACAAAAGTTGGTTCCTGTAATTTCAATCATTAAATCAAAGGGTTAAGGCCAGAGGTGGATAGAGTATCCCAAAACTGTAAGTAAAAGTAGAGTACAAAAGATAGAAATAGAAATAAAAAGTATTGTGTTTGATGTGGATGTGATTAGAAATATTTCAGTCACTGTCTTCCACAGATAAAGGGAAAGAAGCAAAAATACACTTGTATTTATTTGCGAGGAAAAGACAAGTCATCATTTCCTGATTAGATAACATGCCACATATACACCAGGAAAATATTCCCATTGTTTAGCTCTCCAGTGTGATAACAAAATATTATCATACACTGTTAGCATGAATGTTTACATTATGGCAAAAAGCAGGAATAATTTTGAGATATGGTATACTGTGTGTGTTTATTTATTATTAAACATATTAGCGTTAACACAACAGACACAGCTCTCTGTCAGCTCAGTGTCAGCACGGCCCTCTGATGTACTGATTTCACAACCGGAGCCTGATGCACTTTGCGCTAAATTTTCATCTGTAAAGATTAGCTGCTAGTACCATTTGAAAGCCATACCATGAACCATAAATGAAAAAATTAATAGATAAATAAAGGTAGCACGAACATATCCAAAGAGTAAATGTAACTTGTTACTACCCACTTCTGGTTAAGACTTTGTAAATATTCAAGTTAAGGAATAGTGGGAGTGAGCGTGCAGGATGCAATGTCATTGCCATGTGAAGTCACTGTACGAAAAATAATAAAAACGGGGTGTTTCTGCATTTAGACCAATGAGATCCACCAACACTTTGTTTTTCACCATCATCTGATCTTTGGTCAGCCAGTCATCAGCCAGTGAAAGCAATTTGTTTTTGTTATTGTGAAAAGTGCCTCCTGTATTTGCTCAGGACGACTGGTACATCTACAGCTTTCACATCAACTCCACAGTGACCAGTCATTATGCCACCACTGTCATCACAAGGCGTGTGGCCAATCGTATAGACGAGTCAAAGGAAATAGAATTCCATGTCCAAATTCCTAAGAGAATATGTAAATATATATGATATATATATATATATATATATATATATATATATATATATATATATATATACACATATCATCTCCTCATCCAGGAAAACAATGTTGGGGTAAGAACATCTTTCATGGTCAGGACTTCAAACTTTTGAAAACCGGCATTAATTTCATCAAGGTTAAAGGAGGACTAAGCACCAAAGCCCTCGCTAATGCCATCACCAAAACACATGCAGACAAACAGGTACTGCATGCAATAAAGCAATACTCTGTATTCAACTCAATTGTTATCTTATCTGACCCATGTCTAACTGTCTATTATTACTATACTATACATCATGGTGCAATAATGGCACTGGACACATTATATTCAGGCTTATTTACACTGTGCATATCAAAGATACATTTTGTTCATCCTTTGCACTACCTAATCAAATGTAATCAAAGTGAAAGGGCTAATTTTTTGACCAATGAAATCCATTCAATCCATTCAATCCAAGAGATTTTAAAACTTAGTTAATCCTGTTTCCAGGCGTGGGTGCATTTCAACAGAAGACATGTGACAGCTGTGGCGATCAGGGTATGAATGGAGATCTGGTTATTGTTTATGATGTCAACAGGGACACCTCTCTTGGAGACATTAAGGTACGGTAAGAGTTCATTTCTTGGAAGAGCAAGAGCTAAATGGTCTTTTATCTTTCCTTGTCTTTTAAACAATCAAACCAATCAAATTTTCTTCTTATCTTAAGATATCAGCTGAGTACTTTGTTCATCACTTTGCGCCATCTAGTCTTCAACGCATACCAAAAAATATTGTTTTTGTTATTGATCAAAGTGGCTCCATGCGTGGCAGAAAAATACAACAGGTACAATATCTGAAGAGTCTTTGTTTGTGTCATTTAATGATTTACTTTACAGACAACTTTATTAAGTAAACAACTTAAGAAACACATTATTACATGGTCTCTTACTTGAATAAAAGTTCTAATGTGTGAATGTTTTTATCCCAGACCCGAATAGCTTTAATCCATATCTTGAATGACCTGGCAGAAGATGACTTCTTCGGTCTCTTCACTTTTGATAGCAGCATTTTTCACTGGAAACGAGAACTTGTTCAGGCCAACAAAAAAAACCTGGACAGTGCTAAAAAATTTGCACAGGATATTCAAGCTAGAGGAGGTGAGGTTTTTAATAAAGATTTTATTTAGATGTTATCATTGGACAGCAGAACGGTGATGTGGAATTTTTTAATTTCCTTTCAGCCACAGACATTAACGGAGCGGTGTTGGATGGCACACGTATGCTGAATGCACATCCCAGAGAAAATTCAGCGTCTCTTCTTATACTTCTCACTTATGGAGACCCAACCACAGGTTACAATAAAACACACATGGTATGGAGGACTGATCCTGACATATTCATAAATACATACAGTAATAAATAAATGCTCAATAAATAAATAAACATCCTATTAAATGTACAAAAAATACAGTAAATAAATAAATGTAGGGATTAATTAAATTATACAATGAGACAAATGTCTCAAATCTCTTTTAATTAGCTTAATTTTATATTCATCTTTTCTATTAATTACCTTATTTATTTATTGATTACTTATTCTTTAAAATTTATTTATTTATGTCTGTGTGAATATTTTTGTCTGTTTTATTCTTCCTTTACATTTTCTACTCTATGTATTGCCCGTTGGTATTTATTTCTCTCCCCTTTTTCTATTTTCTTATGCATTTCTGCCTCATTATGCAAGTGAGGGGGGGCTGTGTTTTAAAGGGTCAACTTCTCGCCTATTGGTGGACCCTCTGACCTACAGTGTTTTGCAGTTAGCGACATACACAGACTGTGGGGAAGTGAGCCGTTATTTGTGAGAACCACGTGGTCAGCTAGCCACAGCTAAATCTAACTGCACTTGTTATCGAGCTTTTACGGAAATGCTCTCAATCAGCTGCTTTGTTTCAACTAAACCTACTTTCAAGCTGAAAATTCAACCGGGGTGTTGTGTCAAGAGATGCAGTGACTTAACCAGTGGTGAGTAAGAACTTATAAGAATAATATATGTAATTTGTTTAGCTATGAGGAGAGGAAAATGCCATAGGCTTAAGCTAGAAATGGAGACTTGCAAAAAAAACAATCTTGAAAGTTATTATTATTATAAGTTTTTGTTAAATGTGATTGTTATTAAGCCATATTTTATGTGCGCTGGTCAATTTAAAGTTAACTTTATTGCGCTTAACCAGTTAAAATGATTTGATGTTTTTTTACGGCCTAAAGCACATAAGAATAGGAGGCTTTGGTCATCACTTGGATCTTTGTCAGAGGACAAAAAGAAGAGGTAGAAGAAGGAGAACAACAGAGAAGATAACCCAAAAACAATGGAATAAATTAATTTTGGTTACAGCTTATTAAATAGAGTCTTCCTATTTAAAATGAATGTAATGGGCTGTAGGAGAATTCAAGCACTTGATCATTTGTTAAGGAATTCCAGTCTGGTAAATGATGAATGAGCAACGCTGTATAAAAAGTACTAATGTATTGATCCTTCCTCCACTCCTGCGTTTTAGAGCCTATCATGGTCTGCGTTGGCACACATTCATATTTCTAGCTCCACCCGATTAAAATGGAGGCTCTGCCTTTATTTACACAATGCCATGGTGAATCGTAGTATCAGAGCTCTATTGATGATGGCTTTTTTTCATCCCCACGCACGCCCTTCCATCAGGCTCAACATACTCAGAGTTGGGTGAACTAATTCTCGTCAGCTGGAAACAGAAATTCAGAGTTTCCCACCTCAACCTCAATCAACTCAGAGATCAGGGATAAGCTCAGAGTCTGTTAAGTCTGCTTTCTGAAACAGGGCCCTGTTTCTTAAAATCATGCAATGAAGTTGTAGAAATGCATAATAAATCCCTGAAGTATGGCTGGTATTATAAAGGTGGGATAAAATCATTTGTATTTATTGAAATTATGTTATTTTGTTAGCACATCACAATTGAGAAAAACACTGTAATGAATTAATAGCTGCCACAGGAGGTCATTGTTTTATTTTCAACTGTTCCGCTCTGTTTACCAGCACTGTAACTTGTAGGTTTAATACTTGCATATTGCAAACCAAAAGAAGAGAACATAATCAAACAGTTGCATTTGTTGAAATGTAAATAGTTTTATTGCGCATTATCAGCCACACTGTCTCTGCTCCTTTTTCTGGATTTGCATCCTCGTTTCGCATACAATTAAGACTTGATAGCCTCTCTTCAGGTAACACATGTCTTTGTAAAGAGAGAAAATGACAGAAAAAGTCTCAGCTTGCTCTGCTCTGTTAAAACTGCATTTACCATAAAGGGTAGCTGCTGCTTGCTGAAAGTGGCAGATTATAAAGACAATAAATAAATAAATAAGGTCATAAATATAGGTGAGTATAGAAGTTAATAAAAAGATACATTACATGTATACATTGTATAATTTAATCAATGCCTACATTTGAATATGAATATGTCAGGATCAGGCCTCCATACACATGCACACAATCGTGTGCACAAATGCTCTGATTGTTGCTGGGTTGGCTGCAGTCTTTTATGAATACCCTCTCCTGTCAGCAATCTAAAACCCATCTTTGTGTGACTTTAAAGATCATGGACATTA